TGGAGAGCCGGTCAGTGTGTCTGCAGGGCTGTCCAGTCCTGCTCCCGGAGAGCCGGTCAGTGCGTCCGCAGGGCTGTCCAGTCCTGCTCCTGGAGGAGCCGGTCAGTGCGTCCGCAGGGCTGTCCAGTCCTGCTCCTAGAGGGCCTGCAGACACACTGACTGGCCCTCCAGGTCTCTTAAAGGCAGTATCGACTGGAGAGCCAGGAGAGGCTGTGCAATTGGCCCAGTTAAATCAGCACTCAGCCGGCTCAGCTCCTCAAGAGCTCAGTGGGGAAGAACACCCTCAGACACTCCAGCTGCCCGGGACCAGGGCTGGACACCCCTGGGAGCGATGTAGGGAAGCACTGCAACACCAAAGTGTGCAGCTGCACAAGTCCTCCCCCACCCCCCCACAAACCACACTGCAGGACGGCAGCTTCTCCTGTCTCACTAACTTGTCTTCTAGACACAGGACCAGACCGCCGACACGCTCCTTGACTGGACACTGTAACGGTCTGCAAAGCGCGAGTTCCAATAGTTTAAAACGGGCAGCGGCCAGGCCACCGGACTCATCGGCTGACTCGCACAGGCTGCGGGTCCGAGTCCCAGGTAGAGACAGTGCAGCTGCTGTCCTGTGCGGGTGCGGCACCCCGACCGAAGCGGTAAAACACCCCGACTAAACCGGCACACGTGCGCCTCGCCCCCGACAGACACGCCAGTGTCAACATCACCGTCAGCAGCTGCGAAACATGTACCACGTGGGGCCAATGAACCCGACATGAAAGGGCATTTAAAAAGCGAGAACCGGACGCTTTTCTTTACACGGAGGGAGGTAGGGGTGTGGAACAAGCCGCCGAGCCACGTCGCTGAAGCCGATTAAAAGCAGCTGAAGAAGGTCCTGGGTTCAATTAGCTGTTAAGCTGACGGACTAAAGGGGCTCCTCTTACTTCCCTTACTTACTTTTCAACTGCGAGACACTGACCCGAGCCCGGGAGATCCTCTCCGATCCGTAATCGATCACAATTAGCGCTAGAAGACGCTTTTCGTTTTACAGACTTTGGAACATCGCTAGGAAGCGCACGTTTAAATCGGACGTTTTTCTAAAAGTTCGAGCATGCAAGGAATCGGTCTGTGCGCTCTCACAAGGACCCCACGTCTCCCCACACCAAGCACATGGCCGCGGCACTGAAAACGATCCCCTCGCACGAAAACGGCCATCGCAATCGTTGTGTTGTTGTTGTTGTTGTTTTTTTGGCATTTGGCTTCGCTTAACGCCAAAAGACACCCGCTTCCTTCCGAAATTCACGCCAGAACTCAAATCACGAGCAGGAGAGAGCTACAGGGCCGACAGCAATCCAAGCCAAAACATCAGTTAACGCTGGATCCAAACTGAGCGACGAACTAGTCCAGCACGCTGCGCCCAATACAAACACATTAACTAGCGTCCCAGCTGCTCACGGCAACAGGAACAGCGGGGAACTGTTGAAATTCCGTCTAAATCGTGCACGCCGCGTCAAGTAATCGTCTGGAAGTTACTAAAATGAGCCTAAAACAGATCCTAAACCTCCGGCGTGCGCAGGCCACGACCCCCCGTCCGCCACCGAGAAACTCTCCTCTTCTGCACGAACCAGCTGGCTTTAACTTCGAAATGCGATTTAAGAAAATAGGAGCCTCCGAACAAGGCAGACACCAAACTCGGAGCGGGTGGTCTTTACGGCGCTTGAAGGCATTTTTGCCTTTTATTATCACGTTTTGTTTTCGGAGGGTGATTTGTCTCCGGCCCCGGTGAGACTCGGAGGACAGGAGCGGCGGAGCTCCGTGTTATTACCTCCCGGGTCGTTTTTTTTTTTTTCCCCCTTTTAACGCGTCAGGGGATCGCGGATCTGCTTACCTGGCTTCATGTTCGCGTCTCGGGATGTATCGCTGCAACGACCTGGGCGCAGAAATCGGATGAGTTGTGTCGCCGCTCCGCTCTCCGTCCTCCGCACTCGGGCGCTCGCTGTCTCTCTCTCTCCTGCTCACACGTGCTGCGTCCGCACCACATGGGCCGGCGGCGGAAGTTCCAAGCCCGCGCGCCCGAGCGCTTCCTCTCGCCGGCGTCGCCCACAGCGCCCCCTACCTCGGAGGACACACACCGCAGGCCGCTCTCCACCTCGGGTCCCCCACAAAGCTGTGTTTCGGGAACTGGAAATACAGCTTTTGGTATTTTGGTATATTTGGAAATACAACTGGAAATACGACACCTGAAGAAGGCTCCACGGCCGAAACGTTGTGTTCTCTTTCTTCTTTTTTTCAGCATGGAATAAACCTATTACTTGTTATTTTTCGGAATTTTTTGTCTTCGAAACCTGTACTTGAAACCCATTGAAACCATCTTCAACTTTTTTTGTTCCGTGCACTTAAAACATCTTATTGTGGCCGGAACTTATTCAGTCTTACTCTAGTTGAAGCTTACACGTAAGCCTAGTACGCTTTACCTTTTAAAAAAGCTCCACCATGGATTTCAAATGAGACTTTGTGCTGTTAAATTACTGTGCCGCCTCAAAGATCTGCGCAAGCTCAGTGAGTCCTAAGTGTTAACTGAACAGGGTCTTGTTCAGTGGGATAGGTTTATGGATTGTTAAATGCTATACTCCTTTTTTACAGTTTCGAAATGGTTACTTCTTGTGTATCGTTATCAGTTTCTTTATGATGGCGATGTGATTATAAAAGTATTCTCCTATGATGTTTTAGGTGTTTTGAAATGCAGTTGGGTCGCCCTCTAGTGGACGGGGGGGAGGGTGGCTCAGAACTGTTTATTTTTACAGTTCGACTAGACTGATATTTCAAAGTTCTCTCGAAGAACATTAAACACATTAAAGCAGTGATACGAACGAGGACAGTGAGGGACACCGAGCTTCATCAAGGCAGCCAGAACAAGGTGATCGCAGCACGGAGGAACCCATTTTCAGCAATAATACTTTTATTTACAGACCTGATTAATAGAATTGTGCTTGAGCTTTGTTGGATAACACTTAAAACACAGCACTACAATAATAATAATAATAATAATAATAATAATAATAATAATAATATGCTCTATGAATCTGTTAGAAAAGACACTGCTTTATGACAATGTAATATGGCACAGCAGAAATAAGTTTTGTTTGCTGAAGCCCCATCATGGATTGAGATTACTGTAGGTTTAGTGGCACAAAGAGTAGATTCTGCTAAAGAGGTGACAGATATTTAGCCCTGTCCAGTACAAACACGAAGCTGCACCGTCTGCTTAACATGAAACCATCCTTCTTCAGACGATCGCAGACGAAGGCCGGATCGTTGGTCACCGGAGGGCGGATTCCAGGAACAGGCTCTTCCGCGCTCAGTCCCCGCACAGCGGCTTTCCTGCTCAGGGCGCGGCATGGCCGATTGCAGAGCCAGGAGTGCACCCTGAAAGTCAACCGGTTAACGATGATTTCAGCCGGAGTGACCGGCAGAGGACAAGGGGCTGACCAAGGCGGGCTCGTCGCTTTCAGCTTTCATCCAAAACACTGAGGCGCTAGAGGGATCGGTTACTGTGTAAGTGCATCAGGGGCACACAGCCCCCTTAAAACCTTATATATTACAGCTGCTGTATCAGCTCACCCAGTAGATGTGTTGATAGCGTCTTCTGAGAAAAGGGGTGATGATCTGTGGTGCTGTGTAACTGGTCAGTGGCACTTAGTACCATGGAGTTGTATTGGCAGAGCTTAACAGGAACAAATGACCAATAAACAAGGTGGCACTTTTAGCTGGGGTAAGATGCTATTGTATAGAGATTGTGTCAGAAAGAAAAAAAATATCTAGCGATCCAGCATGGAATAGTTGATGCACTTGTTTCTGTCACAATCCCTTCATCACATAGTCTTGTGACTGAATCATTAACCATAACTATAAGCAGCCAGCCTAGTTTTTCATTCATTGACACTTTGCAGATGTGGGAGGACTTAATCTCTTTTCTGAAGTCTCTGGTGGAGGCACAGTGAAAGACAGCAATTTTCAGGAGGCTCTCTCCTTTATGATAAAGCACACACGTCTGTGTTGGCTTCCAAATTCTGTTTCCACTCACCGTTCAGCTGAATCCCTTGACAGATGTTTCCCAGCAGGTCTTCTGGTTAGCGGTCCATCTGAGCTCTCTTGTGACTTAATTGGACCAGTTATATGCATAAGGATTGAACAGATGTGCTTTCAACATACGTTTATTCCTGCTAAAAAAGCTGCTATCAGAAGTGAACGGACTGTTCCTTTGTGATTCAAGTATTCAATTTGGAATTGCCAAATATTTTTCTATTGTCTTTGGACACGTCACAAGCTCCATAGTGCCTTACGGGAGAGCCAGTACTGATTGGAGCACTTTGCTTGCTGATGTCACTGAGAACCCACAGGAGTCTGACAAGTACTGGTGATAGGATTGGCTGAAGTGCTGACCAATCAGGATCAAGATTCCCCATGTGGAGGCACGCGATTGGCTGAGACATTACTGACCGTGGTCCGCCCAGAGCTCGGCGTCCTGCGGGAGCCTGCAGGCGAAAGGGCATCTGTAACAGAAACGCCAGCCATCTGCTGGAGTCAGTGGGGCAGGAGTCCAGACACAAAGTGATGTCACCTGGCTCTGGCTGCAAACCCTTTGGCTGAAGGCCTGAGATACGCATGCTTTTGACTTGATAAATGACCCGCGAACAAAAAAGCACTGAGAACATGAAAAAAAATTGCACAAAGATGTAGACGCCAAATCTATTGACCTTTTTTTGAGATTTTGATACAGATCCCCTTTGCAGAGGAGGACATGCCATCCGACGGACTTCCGGGAGCTGGGCGCGGACACGGACAGGAATGGATTTTGCGAAAGGGTGAACGTGTGTCACGCTCAAACCTTAAGGCAAAGGAGAAATAAAAGAAGGACACAGTCGTCTCAGAAGCAAGTTCTGCAGCTGCTATAGTACCTGCAGTGTGGTTCTGCTTTACGGAAAGGGGCATCTGGGGGCTTATTTTATTTTTTGCTGGGGGAGGGGGCGGGGGGGGGGGGGTTACTCTCCATTCTCCATTTT